TTAGGTCTTATGAGATAGCATCTTTCTTCAGCAATGGACAGGCTGTGCTTCTGCTTTCCATCCCCCTAACTGTAGACCAAATTCTGCCTGCCTAGCACTTGGACCCAAGGCTTTTCATGTTGTATGTGTGCTCCTCTGCTCTTTGCACGTGTATAACTGTAGGATTACCTTCCACCTTTAGCTGTAAGTCCACCCTCACTCAGTGATGAAGCAAAGGCAGCAATTAAAAATAAAAATGCAATCTGTATAACTACAAGAGGAGACAAGACAGCAATCAGGATAAATTAGAAGGCCCAGAATGCATAAAAACGAGAAGAGAAGTGAAAGATAGCAAGGAAAAATCCATGGCTAGAAGGGAAGGACAGTAAGAGGAATATTTTAAGTAAGTAAGTGAAATGGCAAAGTCTGCATCCAAGCAAGTTGTAGTACCACCTGCAAAATGCATGGGAAGCCTGGTCAGTGCTGGGTACCTCCTTCAGAGCAATATGCCAGCGCTAGTTTGGCCACTGCAAGCAGTGAGTACGTACGGTAGCCAAGCTGCCATTGTTGGTCCTGACTTATAATCTCTTTCCACTGCTTTAGCAAATGTTTTAGTTAATGCAAATCTCTGATTCACCTGAATCATTGCTGATTTGCACCATCCTGACCACAGTGTGTACAACTGTTTCTGCCTTGCAAATTTAACTGCATTCTGTTTCAGTGGCATCTTAGGGCTAATTAAAACCTTTACATCGGTCCCCTGGGTTGTGGGTGCTATTTTAACTTTCCTCTTCTCTGCAGAAGACTATGACAGACTTTGGGCGCTTAAGTTGACCATGAGAGAGTTGAACATGACTGCTGTCCTGCAGCAGGGGCAGGGCAGGCTGTAACCTGGTATATGAGTGGTCCTCACTTGTGAAGAGAGAGTGAATCTTTAATAACTCCAATCATGCATGAGATGTTAAATTTCTAGTGTATGACCAGAATACTAGAGTCCCTATTCTGCACCTTACTATAAGATTCTGTGTGTCTTTGTGACCCATCAGACACATTCATCATAATTTTCTTTAGATATTACTCCTGTCTCACTCTTTTTTCCTTTAAAAGAGAGGGGGGGAAAATAATGTCATGTCCTCATCTTACTGCTCATGGTCAACTCTATAAAACTCTAGTCTCACTCTCTTCTCCTTTCAAAGTGTGGAGTTTTTGGCCTGTTATTTCTGGAAATCCAGACTGATTTGGGTATCTCTATCCATTTGCTGTGTCTGAGAAGCAGAACCGCCCCGACTTGGCAATCACTCCCTTTCGCACTCTGTGTCTTTCCAGCGAGCAGTTTGAATACATAACACACCATGACTTCTTGGGTCCCTCCCAGACAATTCCCTCTGACAGCAGGTGTGCCTCTGCATTGCAGATTGCTACATATCTCACCCTGTTTAAAGGCAACAGTGCTCCTTGGAGTCCTTACAATCATGTTGTGAATTTCTTTCTAGCTGCCTCTCACAACACAGGGATCTATCCTGTGCTGGAACTGGTGGTGGTCTTCTGCAAACTACCAAGTATCTGTTTAATGAAATTGCTCCACTGTATCAATTAAACTGACCACCAAAGAGGCTTTTCTGATCCATATATGGGAAGAGAAATGCATCTCTTCTTTGGTCAGTGCACGGCAGCATTAGCCTCTTGCAAAGGGGAGGGAACGACAACTACACCTCTCGTGCTTCTGCAGCAACATGCTATAGTCTCATTTAGAAAGGTGATCCTTGTATCAGTTTGTTGGCAGGGGAATCCTATCATGTAGGACATGGATTAGAGTTTTTTTCAATGTTATTTACAAAACGCATCCACTCAAAGCCATGTGGATGGCAGCACAAGAGCAAAAGGATCACACGGCGGTTTAATGAGACCTGCAGTGTGCAGTAAGTCATTGCTTATTGTTTCCTTGCTTAGGAAGTCAAGATTTACCTTTCCTTAATGCAAGCATCTCCTGTCTTCACCAAGCATGTAAATTGCTGGTTTTCAAACTTAATTTATTCAGATACTATAACTGGCACCAAATGCCATTTTTGGCAGCCAAAACAGGTTACCAGTTTCCTGCCTCTTTAGTTTGCCTAAGCAGGAGTTGAACACTGTGCTCCCATGTCCCATCTGAACAAACCAGAACCTGAGCTTTCTTTGTGTAAGATCTGTCTGGGACCTCCTTCCCCATTCCCATCCCTTCCCCTGCAGCATATCCCACTGTACCAACTCAATCCTATCTCCATGAGCTTTCCAGCCTGAACCAGAAGTGCCAGCTAGCGTGCCGCTTGTTGGAGGAGAAGCCTTTGCACGAGCCATGTGCTTCACACCACAATAAGTTGCCTATGGCTGTATTAGCAAACAATGTCTATGGCTGCTAGCAAGAATAATAGTAGCACATCTGTAGATAATAGCAGTATTTGGGGATGGTGTTGAGTAAATAGAGTGCTGAGGACTTGACACACACTCTGTATGCATTTTGGAGAAAGGGATGGTTATTGTGGATTAGCTCTAGCTGTGTCCTGTGATGCCTTTTTGCAGCTGCAGTATCCCAGATGTGCTCCAGAAGTGCATCTTCAAGTTTAGCTTTGTCCAAAAAGAATGCATTTCATGAACTTCAGTGTGAATCAAAGCACAGAAATTGCAAATGATGGAGCATCTCTTCAAAAGCACACTCCTGAGCTGAACTGAAACACTAGTGTAGATGCACCCATATTGCCTGGCTAACAAGGGGGTCCAACCCTGTTGCTCCTATGACAGGCAATGTCTAGAGACCTTTGCTGCATACCATTTGGGGAGAATTCACAGATCACTAGCAGTAGCAGTATCACAGTTTGGGAATTTTATTTAGAAGAACTTTATGGTCTGCTAAGATACTGGGCACTGAACAGCTAAGAATGGAGGGGGGTGAGACATACATAATATTAGTATAATATTTTTATCCGTTTCATATAGGCAGCTTTCCAAGAATAACTATCAACGGAGAATCCTCATCTAAAGGACTTCTGTGAGCAATATTTGATGTCTTCTATTAAAGTTCTGGAATAAAAGTAAATAAAAATAGTTGCTAATAAAAATTGCATATGGCACAAAATATCACATTATGAGGACAAGTCACCTTGAAGAAATATAATGATCCATTTGAAAAGGTTTAGAAAAGAGCTGTAAGAGTAAGTCTCAAGATCTTAAAACCAAAAGACATTGCAGAAACAGGCAGAAGGACCGGGTCTATTTAGCTCATTAAGGAGAATTTTGAAAGCATCCTCGTCAAGATCTGTAAATGATTAAATGTTGAGACACTAGAGATAAGAAAAAAAAGCTGCACAAACTCAGACAATAGCTTAGACACAGACTTTAGCAATGACAGGGCTTAATCATTGGAACAATTTGCTGTGCATTATAGAGGATTTTCTATGGCTTGAAATCTGGAAAATGTGCTGTATCCTGCACAAACCACACCAGGTTTCTGGCCTGGTACTGCAGGAAGTTGGACTATATTTTCTGAGTGGTACTTTCTGAACATAATATCCATGAAACCTACACAGAAGACTATTACCGTTACAACCTTAATAACAATTAAATATGATGGCTTTCTCTGATGACTTCTTTGTCACTAGCTGTGACGATTTTTGTTAACCCAGTCACCCTCCCAGGATGTGTTAAGCACTCGTTCATTATAGGAACCCTTTGAAAATGTAACATTTAAGAGCTAAGTTGACATGGGGACTTGGGCACCTAACCATCATTTTAGGCAGCATAGTTCAAAATGTTTATCTGCAAAAGCCCTCTTGTAATCCCATGGGTGCGTAGCCTCCGTGGGTATCTAAAAACTTACTCATTAATTCCTTCTCTGGGTATGGGCAAGGCAATCACCCACAACAGGGTAACTCTCTTTCAGCTTGTGAGGATGAGCCTTGTCCAGTGCAAGTGTTCAATAATAACAGCTGGTGTGAAGCACATCAGCAGTGATGTTGAACCCCTAAAACAGTGAGACTGATATAGCAACCATGAAAGTCAGCCCCCATTCTGCCCACTGGTGGAGGTTTGTCCTGCAATCTCTCTACATAGCCCCTTCAAAAGCGCCGTTCAGAAAGAGATTGAAACCGTAATCCATGCAAATAAACAATCAAATCCCATATGATTACATCAGATACAAACTTGCCAAAATCTCTTGCTTCTAGTAGCCTTCTGCTTATTACCATACTAACTTGTGGCCTTCTCGCAGAAGCAACAAGAAATCTATGACTCTCTTAATCAGGTTTGGTCCAGATTTTATCACTAACTGTTAATGAAATCATCCTATGACAGAGTTAGTCTAAAAGCAAACCTCTGCTCCAAGTGTGTCACCTGTATTTTTATAACTCTTACATTCCTGCAGCCATGTCAGATCTCAAAGCTGAGCCGGGTAAGGATTGAAGGGGAGGGCTGTGCTTGTAGGGGGCATCATTTGAATGAGAGCATGGTCCCTTATCACGGCTGTTCATCAGAGTTCCCATAGTGTTCTGAAAGCAAAGGTTGGTGACTAAACTGTAATAAAGTAATTGCTTTCTAATTTCTAAATTCCCTTGCAGTTCCCCTTAGATTGTAGCACTGGTTTTCACACCCTAACTTTTTCTGGTTTTGCTTTGTTTTGTTTTGTTTGTTTGTTTGTTTGTTTTAATGGTCTACTAAACATCTCTATTCAAGGGTTATTACCTTTCATTTCAGTTGGGAACATGATTGGTGTGGCTCCTCCTTCTTTTTAGCTCCAGCCTCCTTGGGAAGACCTACAAAAAACATACTGGCTCTCCTTCAGTTCTTATCGCTCATCTGTTTTGGGACATCTTTCACGTGTGGCTGCATCTCGTTCTGCTCCCCATTTCTAGGGAATGAGCTCTGCATAAGGAGTATGTAAATTCCTGGCAATGCTATTCATCCAGCCTGTTGCCTTTTAAAACCTACGAGGGAAGCACAGAAAATCCAAACTTGTCCACTTTGCTAAACACTTTTCTTTTCACTTCTAGGTCCTCCTGTTGAGCCCCTGGAGCCAACCAGGCCTTTACCGACTCTTCCTGTTCGCAGAATTCACTCCACTTCAGAAAGAAAACATGAGAGACAGCCAAGACCTCCTAGTCCTCCTCTGGGTGATAGGCCATCTCCTCCTGGCACGAAACCGAACATCTGTGATGGCAACTTTAACACCGTGGCTCTCTTTAGAGGCGAAATGTTTGTTTTCAAGGTACTAAGAATTCCTCCTTACCCATGAGTCTTTCTTTAGTTTCATTGCTGGAAAAGATTAATAGAAGTATAAGGCAGTGAGATTTGAAATGTCTGTGAAAATAGCTCAGTTCGTCTGAGGCTGATGAATGAGCAGTATTAGAAGGAAAATGTAAGCAGATATTGGCTCTGTAATATTTGGAAACAGTGCCTGATGGGATTCGCAAAATGCCCGGGCAGCCTGTGCACCAAAATGTGAACTGGATGCACTGGCAGAGAATTCAGACACCATCAAGCTCAGAGAGGAGCCACCTGTAAAGCCAGAAAGCAATACCAGTACCTAACCAGGGATTAAGCCTCGTTGCCTCCAGAGATGGCATGCATCAAACCGTGGGCTTCAGGGAGCACTCAGTCTACCTGAAGCTCTTGGGGAGTTGGAGTCAACCTTGTTTGTAAATTACAGCCAGCGAGGAAGGAGAGGCTTTGCTCAATAACCCATGTTGGAGTGCCTTGCATATGGAAACCTATGCTCCCATTCCCAAAATACCTGTAGCTTTCACTCTGCCCAATGGCTATGAATGTGGAGAGGGATATATTGAAGGTCATTAAATGGACAAACCACATCAGTGGCAGAAAATGCCTGAACTGAAAATAGTTGAAGACTGGGACAGCATCTGGGAGAAGTCTCACAGGCTCTGTCCTGAGCATCCACTATGGCTTTAACTAATGATCTCATATCTAAAGGGATATTTAATAACTCCTTTGTGCCTTTGGATGTTGTGCACTTCACACAGTCACCAGGTAGTGTTAAGGCTGTATGGCTCTCCTGGGGTCTGATAGTTGAGCACCAGTTGTACCAGCGCAAGTGACACCTCAGTGACGAGACATGCAGAGAGGTTGCTCACAAATGAGTTCATAACACTTACAACTGTGGACTTGCTTCCCCCTGCTCCTTTTTCCTCTCCTTCTTTCCACCCTTTTTCACAGCACCAGCAATCAACTTCTCACCCTTTTGGCTGCCATCTTCCCCACGAAGCGTTTCCCTCACTGGAGACAGTGTTGGGCTGGGTTGGAGCTGTCATCTAAACCAAGACTTCTGTCTTTAATGGTTACGGGGCCTAGGCAGGGATTAGTAATGCTTGATGCTGGACGCCCAGCCTGATTTGACTGCAAGATAAAAATAGTCAATCTGAAGACGCTTCTGGTTTTCTCAGGATCGCTGGTTCTGGCGTCTGCGCAACAACCGAGTGCAGGAGGGATATCCCATGCAAATTGAGCAGTTCTGGAAAGGCCTCCCCGCAAAGATTGATGCAGCCTATGAGCGGTCTGATGGAAAATTCGTTTTCTTCAAAGGTACAGTACATTTCAGTACAAGCCTACCACACCTGCCTCGCATCACACTCTTATGGCATGAAGATGGGGAAAACAGGTACGGTGCATCCTTGTCCTTTTCCAAGGGGACACTTCAGGCAGCCTCTAATCCTTAAAATATAGCTTAGTGTGGGCTGGCCCTGCCAGGACAATCTCTGTATAAAGCTGATATTCATTAGTGGAAGTTGGCTTTCATGTGATGATAACAAGAAATAGCTCCTATTTCCCAGGGAGTGTCAGTCTCCTGCCTATCTCCTTGAACATATTTTGGCAAGGCATTAGGGCCTCTCCAGGTATAGGGCACCCCCAAACCACATTTCTGGGCAATTGTCTCCTAAAGAGACAAAACGACCAACCTTATGCCAGGGCCACATTAGCTCCTTGCACTGTGACAGCGTCTGAACAGGATCCTGTAACTTGAGAGCAAGTTGTAAGCAAGGAAGAGTGGCTGGAAAGCATCGGCATGCCCCCATACAAAAAACACAGTACCTGGTCTTCTGAATTTATGTCTCCAGCTTCAGTCCCTCAGCTCAACAAACTGTATTAAAACTTGAGAAGGCTCAGAAAAAGGCAACAGAAATGATCAAAAAGTATGGGCTGACCTCCTGCAAGGAATGAGGGATGCCAAAGACAGGGTATGAGAGAAGTCTTTGAAAGCATGACTGGCCTAGAGAACGTAAATGGGAAAGGGTTGTTTAACATTTCTTCCAAAACAAGAGCTGAGGAGCAGCAAATGAAGTCAGGAGGTTTCAGGTTCAAAATGAAGAGGAGCAGCAGCTTTTTCACTTACACAGTTAAGCCCGGAAGTCCTCGACATGCTGTGGGTCATTGTGGCTGTTTTACATTTGTATTGATTCAACTACTAATTAGACAAATCTGTTTGTTTGTGTCCCCATTCACCTCTAGGAGATAAATACTGGGTTTTTAAAGAAGTGACAGCAGAGCCAGGCTACCCACACAGTCTGGTGGAGCTGGGGAGCTGTCTGCCGCGGGAAGGCATTGACACGGCTCTGCGTTGGGAGCCAGTAGGCAAAACCTACTTCTTCAAAGGCGACAGGTACTGGAGGTACAATGAGGACAAGAGAGCAACGGACCCAGGATACCCAAAGCCCATCACTGTGTGGAGAGGAATCCCTCAGGCTCCGCAGGGAGCTTTTATCAGCAAAGAAGGCTGTATGTATCTGCAGTCATTACGCCTGTTAGATCAGTAACAGCTTGTCTACCTTGGGATTTGGGTTGGTGGATGTATTTTGAATATTTCCTGAAATAGGAATCAAGTCTCAGAAGTTCTAGGGTCACACTGACACCTGCAAGCACCTGCAGTCTGAGATCCTTCCTGACCCTGATCCCAACCCATGTACCTCCTCAAGTGCGAAACCACATTATCGCAATGCCAGCTCCGAGGGATAGGAAGGGGACTTTTTTCTGGTTTTGCTGTCACAACAGTCCCTACCCAAGTTTTCCTGGGCCCTGATTGTGAGGATGCCGTAACTTACATTTTTCCTCCTAGGTTCTTACCTGTAGCTAGCTCAGTCACTCCGTTACAGGCTCCAACCTGCCTGATGTACTTAGCCATGCTCTGAGTAGGGGGGTTGGACCTCCAGAGGCTCCTTCCAACACATTTCTTTCTCTGATTTGAAGATTTCTTCCTCTTCTTCCGGTTGGGGAAAGAACTTACAGAAGGGGCTTGTGCCGTTGAGGCCGTGTTTAAATTTGGGGCTGTGGAGGGAGACAAGGGCTGAGCTAGGCTGGAGGACTGCAGTGAGAGCCAGCCAAGCTGGAGGACAGATGGAGGAGACCGGACCGGATGCTTTCACCACTGTTCCCTTCTCCTTTTTTCTGTTTGTTTTTTTTTTTTTTTCCTAATCACTTGAGTGTGATTAGAAAAGGAGTCATCTGGGGAGATGAGGGGTACTTCAGACAACATGTAGCCTTTTATTAGCAGCAGGACAAGACTGCTCCTTAACAAAGGCCAAATCTTCTGGATTCTGTGGCCAAAAGGATTCATTCAGCATCCGCTCCCTCAGGCTGGGTGAAGAGAAACTTTAAGTATTCTTCCAAACACTATCGCACCCAGGCACACACACTCATTCTGCAGATTGTGTTAATTGCTTGGTAATGACGAGCACGTATTTACAGGTGCTTTAGTAAAAAAATAACTCACTGCAGAACACTTACTTTAAAGTTAGTTAGGTTTGGGTTTTTTTATTCACAGCTTGTCTTAGCCAAGGGGAGTGGTGCTCTGTGGGCAACATTGCACCCCCAAGCTAGGGTTATGGCTTCTCCTTTAAATGCTAGCTCCAGAACCACCTTCACTTTTCAATGGTTTTGGGATGCCCTGGATGAATGTGTTTTATTGGCCCAGGCAGGTACCACCTCCAGCCTTTCAGGCTCTCTGAACATCCTCACACAAGCACAGCTTATCAAGTTGAAAATGGTGTGGTGAGAAATCTTCTCTGTTTTGTCTCCTAGTTTATACCTACTTTTACAAAGGGAAGGAGTATTGGAAGTTCGATAACCAGAGGCTGAGTGTGGAGCCAGGCTACCCCAGGTCAATCCTCAAAGACTGGATGGGCTGTAACCAGAAGGATGTTGAACGAAGCAAAGACAGACGCCTCCCCCATGACGATGTGGATATTATGGTGACAATAAACGATGTGCCTAGCACTGTAAATGCAATCGCCGTTGTGATCCCTTGCATTTTGTCTCTGTGTATCCTTGTCTTGGTATACACGATCTTCCAGTTTAAAAACAAAGAGGTGCAGCAAAATGTTGTGTACTACAAAAGACCTGTCCAGGAGTGGGTATGACACAGCCCGCTGCACATTTCAACTCATTGATCTGATGAGGACTATGGACAAAAAAAAAAGAAAAAAAAAATGCATTCAAAAGCCTACCAAACAAAACTACTTCAGTGACCTACAAGTTTTGGACAGCCTGGGACCGAAAGAAGCCGTAAAACTGGAAAAAATACAGGCAGCCTTGCAGCGTGGAGCCTCTTTCCTTCTTACTGCCTCAGTTTCGTGTCAGTCTTGGTGTGCCATCCTCCACAGGCTCACTCTGCTAACATCAGAGTCTTCAAGACAGGTTTCAACTGACCTGGGAAACTTCCTTCAGTTCCCTGCACCAGTGCTCCCTGTTAAACCCAGCATTCTCCAGTGTAGCTAAACCACCTCTGAACAGAACCATTTTTTTAATAGCTGTCTCATAAATGAATTAAGATCATGAAATCTATGAACAGGAACAATTCAGTATCGTAAGCAGAAGACATTCTGATGCTGAACCATTCTAAAAGGTCTTCTTAGTTTATTACGAAATCCAGGGAATTTCCTGGATACGATTTTCCAATACCTGCTGGTCAGATGTTTTGTACATTCATAACTAATCAACGCTGCCACTCAGCACAGTGCATGAGGAACCACTAAGCACTCAAAGAGGTAAATGAGTGCAGAGCAGAAGCTCAAGAAGCACCAAACCAGACACCATGTTACCTGGCAACATCAAGCCCTAGATTGGGACAATCTGAAGACAAAGTAATTGGGTCTAAAAAAACCAATAATGGGAATACATGTTTTTGTTTTGGGAGCCATTCATGAAAGAAATATTTAAATGTCATATGATGTTGTTCTGAGCTCCCATCAGCAAGAAACAATGAACCAATGGTTACCGATATACTGAAAAATATGTATAGACGTAGACTGCACTCTGCCCCTGTTAAGATGCTGGGAAAAGATGAATTGTTGTTATGTGGCATGTATAACTAGATTGTGGAATTTGTATGTTGGGTTTCAGGAGAATGGAAATGTTTGTTTGGAGTGAGATCGTCATTATATTTTGCTGAAATAGTCAAGATACAGTAAGAATTAGGCCTGTTTATAAAACTAAATCCAATCCCTGTAGATGTTACAAACATTGTATGCCTTCGAAATTTGTGTTTTGTTTTTGCTCACTTCTTCACAGGCAAATATTTGGCAAGGACCAAAGGAAGCATGCCACACAGTAGAATGAGTTCATCACTAGCCACATTTGACAGAGACATAAAAATCAGGTAAAGGCTAGATAAATATCTGAACTTTCGGCTAGCAACTTTTCACAAGTCTCTTCCTACAACAGTAGCTTCTGCTTATCCCTCTTACAGTTGTGAATGGTTTAGGATGTTGTGTCCTAACCACAAACGTAGTCCATTTTGTTGTTGATGCTGATATTTCTACCATGTTAAATAAGAGCGGAAGAAGAGTTTCTTGCAATTCAATGGTGAAGTCCAGCGCTGTACAGAAGTGCCATTCATGTAAGCATATGAACTGCTTTGCACGCTCACTATAAGGAATAGGTGATTAGCGTAAGCCCTCTGCCTAGAACTGAAATTTATTCAGTGCAATGGAAGCGCAATACACAGAAATGTCCAGTTAGTATAGAAAAAGTACAGCTTTGTAATGTCCGCTATAAAAAAAAAAATCCAAGGATGACAAACATGCTAAAAATATTCCTAATTGCAATGATGAGGAATGAAGAAGCAGAAAGATTGTTAGCATTCTGAATTTCTAACTAGTGCTCAAATATTGCTATGGTGAAGCAGGATAGACAAATAGATACTTCTAGTGAAGCCCACTAGGACTGCATAACACGTGGTCTCAAACTGTATTTTGTCCTTCATAATTGATTTCCATAGCCAAGCTGTTTATTGTGTTTAAACATAAAAAAAATATTACAAACATATTACAAGGTGAGAAGCTAGTAGATGCGAAACTTTGAATTTTAGTGAAAAAATGTGATAATGTCTCATGATGGGTGAAGGAGTGCAAAGGACCAAATGAAATCGGAGCTACTAATTAGACACCCCCCACACATGCTACTCCGTATGTTGCTATGTGTACTATGTATGTGGTAGAATGCACACTATGAACGCCACAGCCACATGGCACATCGAACTCATCTGTACGCTGCCATCTCTTCTGGGACTGTGACAGCCCAAACCTTTGAGCAACTTCCAACAGCCATCATTAAAAAAAAAAAAATTTACAACCTAGAGAAATGCCTGGTTTTGTTTGTATTTTTTTCCTCCCGCCCTAAGGCAGATTTTTGGTCTGTTCAAAACCCTACACTGAGTAACAAGCTGTACAGGCAGCACAACGCCTGGGTCTGTAGCAAGCTGAGCCATTTCCTCAGACAGCTGCGTATTGCCTTGCGGAGCCAGGCACCCCGCTGCAATAAGGCAAGCTGCCTGCCCTATATTGCCAAAATTCAGCCTTCCTCAGAGAACTGCCACTTCAAAGAACCAGAGAAATAGTTTGGTGCCTTTTCTAACTGCTTCGTAAGTGGCTCCTCGTGCAGATATTACATATTTGAGCTTTCCAGGGGTGTGAGGTATTTGTGTAGGTGTTTAAGGGGCTGAGAAACAGCCCTCTACGGGTACAAGTGTTGGCACTGGGGGGCTGGTGCAGGTAGGTGAGCAGTTGACCAACTTCCCCTGAGTACGATCCCATCATTCACGCTGCTCTCATCTCTCTTTTGCTAAGATTAGCACCTGTGCAGTCCTGGGATGACCTGGATCCAGGCACAAGCGTCAGTATTCGTGTAAGGGATAGTTCCTTAATATTCTTACACCCGAGCTCTTTGCTGGGATCCTGTATTACGCTACAGAAACACAGCACCTGAGCAGCGGAGTATCGACTTGGTCTGCCTCCCATCAGCGTGGCTAAAGCATCCCCATGGGCAGGTGGCCATGTTCCAGTTCCTGTCCAGAAATGCAGCACCAGGACATATTGCCACCGCAGGGGAGCAGGGAACAGCAGCGCTTATTCAACTCTCATCCCATAAGCAAGAGGCTCTTCCAGGTGTGCTCCTGGCGTGATACACACCACCCTGCAGTACAGGCCATTTGTGCAGCCAGAGGGGAGTCCTGGCACACGTTTACCTCGAGCGCAGCAGTTGCAGCCCCTCTGGCGAGCAGCCCACTTACATACACCAGACTGCATTCAGCATTCTACCTCCTCCCCCCCTCCCCCGCCTCGGTTTTTGACTACTTCAAATAATTTCATCACCAGTAAAGTAGGCTCATTTTTCCAGGTAAGTTAGAAGTGTGCTGGGATACACCATCACTACAGTCAGAACAGAGGTGGTCCTCCACTGTAAGATGGATTAGTTGTTCCTAACTTGTAATTAGTCATTAAACCTCAAGGGGATCTCCCATCTCACACCATGAGGACTCGGGTTTTTAAAAACCTCTGTGAAGGACCCTGACAGAAGTTTTTGGCCATTAAAGCACACTATGGCAGCCAAAGCTACACACCCTATGACTTCTTCACTGAACCTTGAGTTGCGAGACATTCATTCCTCCCTCAAAACCTCTGGACAACTCTTCTCCGTGCTGTCACGTTCATCCCAGGGCTTGATTCCAACCTTTCTCATAGTATCAGACTTACTTGTCCAGCACAGCTGGAATCAGCTATAGTTCCTCGGGTCATTCCTGCAACCCTTCATAATACCTGAAGTCACGTGTTGCCTTCCACTGCCTGATAGCGAAGGTGGTACATAGCCGTGGTATGTAACCCACAGCTTCATAGTTCAGCAATTTCATTTTTAAGAATCCTGAGAACCCGCGGTAGCAATACCCAGCACTGGGGACACACGACTTGATTTTATTGATTATTCCTTAACACCTTCTTTTGGCATCACCACTGGAGGGTGCCGCCTTTGAGATAAAGCACATAAAAAGGGTCAGTCAAGTGTTGCGCAGTGCTTTAAGTGCCTCAAGCTGTGCGATGCCAAGGGCCTGCCACTTGTAACTCTCCCTTTCTGTAACGCTTCACCTGAGCTGTCATTTCTCCCTTACTGTTTCACACTGTTGTTCTCACAAGTCTCATCCTCACGGCCCTGCACCTGCAAGCTCTGACACTGCTAGGCAGGTTCTCAGGGAGGTAATTGGCAATAGCGTGAGAATCTCACTCCTCCTTTCCCCTGGCTTCCTTTGGAGCTTTTAGTTTACAGAAGAACCAAAATTTAATGAACAATGAAGTAGATGAGCATTACCCAAAAATATGTATTTGCAGAAAAGCATGGCAACCACTGTGCAACACTTGCATCTAATCTACATATAGCACTCAAGACAAAGATGTATCACGGATTTACAGATAATGATGCTTTGTTGGGGCTTTCTTTTCCTAATTAACTCCAAACGTGCAGTTTGCTTTTTTGACTGTTACTGAAGACTGAGCACGTCTTGTTCAAATACGTACCTTCAGGCCAAATTTGGTCTTGCACGGCTCAGAGGTCATCACTACAGGTGTGACATTTGGATTAACCCTAACATTCTTCTCTTCACGTTCAGCTGCACTGAAATTACCTTTCTATCAACCCATCAGTCAGTGCTTATCCTTACTAGTCAGAATAAGTCAGTATGGGCAAACTTCCCTGCACTAATCCACTGTCTTTCCTAAACAGGACACAGTAACGTTGAACGTTGTGGCTCCCAGCGGGGCTCCCTGTGAAAATCCTGGAAAATCTAACCATTTACTCTGACTTTGTCCCCCATCCTCAAGCATGTGAAAGGGCTTCCCTCTCATTCCATGGGATCACTCACCCAGGGTCCTTAAAAGCCTTTGGCACAAAAACCTGCCAAATGCCTTTTGGAAATGCAAGTAACACTACAACAGACCTTCTCCATATTCCTGTGGACTCCTTTAGAGAACTCCACAGGTCTTACAAGACATGACTTGCCATTAAAACACCAAGTTTATACTCTCATGATACCATGTATCCATGTTTCTACCAATTCCATTCTTTATTATAGTTTCTGTTTTCCTTGTACATAGGTCCATCTTACTAGTTCAGAATTCCCACAAACCCTTGTTTAGAACGGGCATCACGTTTGCCACCTTCTAGTTCCCAAGCTTCAATGCAACTTTTGTAAGAGGTCACACACCACAGTCAGCAACACCCTATCCTGCTGTCTGTCTCTAACCCTCTTTGGCATATCACAACCCCCAACTCTGTACCACTATCTTTCCTACTTAAGGATTTGGATTACAGAGAGACTGGATTATTTTTCTTGTTTACCTCTAAGCAATTTTTAACACGTAACACACATCAAGATCACCAATATAAACGAGGGTTCCTGCCTATCAACCGGAATGAAAAAAAAAAAGTTACAGAAGTTGCAGAGGAAAACTTCAGCCTTACTCATTTTGCACTTGACGAATACAGGCTAACACCGATAGCAAGTCAGTCTTTGCCATTTATACCCAAGAACAGATCCCTGTGAGGTGGCCAAAGGAAATCAGCTTCTCACTCTAAATACCGAGATATGCTAAGAGGAGGAGACCTTGAGTCAGTGCCAAGAAAGGTAGTCCACTATATCAAAGGGGCCATAAACACCAAAAATTGTTAGCTGTAGTAGCAAGGAGCTATGAGCTGCTTACAGGCTTCCCCAATGGCAGAAGGAAGGTGAGCTGTCTGGAAATCGCAGCCCCTGGCTCAGTTACCATTCTAGACAGACCAGATGGCAGGACTGCTACGGTCAGAGAAGATCCTATGGCAATCTTTATTTAAAAGTTTAAGGAGCAACCTTTAATCAACCAAAACTCATAAAACCTTCCCTTAACATCCAGACAGTAAAACAAAAATGGAAGTTGACTAAGTTTTCTACAAAGCCTGAAGCACCAGGGCTAAAAAAGAGCTCTGCCCACGCTGCCTTCAGGACAGCACTCAAGAGAACCCAGCTGAGAGTAATGCAGCTGTGTGGAAGCAAGCAAGGAGCTTCCACACACCCTTAGGATGGGAAGCGGAGGCATTTCTGTGCCTTCAGTACACCTTTAACGGGCAAGCAGAAGAAAAGCAACTGAAATGAGAGATCAGTGAGCAACAGCCCTGCTTCGAAGCAAATGACTATCTTCTACCTGAAAGCGGTATCTACAGCTCCTTTTTGTCATCATCACTCCCTGACAAGGGCAGAGCTCCTAATTAGCAAGCTCCCAAATCTGTAACATCTAACTGAATGGAGTAACTGGTTAGAACCGTGTTACTTAACCTTTGTCTCCAAGATAACTCAAGATGAGGTGGTTTAAATCTTTTTTGATTTGCTGACTTCTAAGAGTTTCCCAGCGTACGTAGCTAACTCCTGTAGAACAAATTTAAGCCCAATGGCAACAGCATGCTTTTCTAGGCTCCCTCTCGCAGATGCCTCAGAAGCAGCACACATGCCACCAGGCAGCTGCAGACAACAGATCAAATACCACTGTTCCAGAGGTGGTCACACGTTGTTGCTGTTAGGAGCCCCTGGATTGACTTTGAGAAATTCCAGTTTTAATCACAGCTGATCACTTCAGAATCACCAGCCCTGTGGGAATAGCTGCAAGTCAGGGCAAGAGCAGGTGATGACTTCTGAATTATTTTGTGGCAAGTAAACTACTATATTTTGGTATTGGACATACAAGGGGCTCTTAAGTCTACCTACAGCAGAAACACCGCTCTTTAGCAAGAGTGTGGAAAGAGAGGGCAGTGCCATGTATGTGCTGAAAGAGACTGCTGTGCAGCAGAACACTGATGCATTATTTAAGGCAAAATAATCTCTAGTGATCAATATCCAAGGGCCACAAGAGTAAATATTGTGGGCAAATTTGAGGGGCTCAGTCAGCATCACGAACCAAGAAAGCACAGCTGAAGAACGGGAGAATGTCAGCAAAGGGATAGACAGCATTCCTTATTTGTAACTTATGGGTGTTATTTGTCAGTTTTTGTAATAATACTTAGTTTACAAAACACTACGAAAACTCGGTTTTGTAGCCTCTTCCTTGGGCTAGGCCTGCAGAAACAACATCAGAAGGTCTAGATGTCTGTAATCCAAAGTGCAGCTTGACACTTCACTCCTTAGGAGCTTTCTGGAAAGTAGGAACCAACACAGCTCATGTCAAGCTAAAAAGACAAAACAGAAACGAGATTTAGCAGGTGAGTGCCAGAGAGTGCAGAAAGCATTTCAAAACACCAGTACAGCCAGTTCTCAACCTCCAATTACAAAGGCCCAGTAGAAATTTCCCTTCCTAGAACATAAGGGTCTATGAAAAGAGGGAAGCAGACCCAGCGGCTGCTAACAGCAAACCGTAAGAACAGACTCGTCAAGCTGGCAAAGGCAGAATGTACACCCAGCCTGGTCTAGGTAGTTATCAAAAGTGCAGAGCAAGTTTAATTATGGCTCTGTTATGCTCAGAGACATCAAGCCTTTATACACGAACTGTGAAGGGGCAGCAAAGAACTCTTTCAAAGGGTTCTTCATTCAAGGAATTCCTTATTCTTTCCTTATGCCATAAACCATTCCCATACATCCTTACAATAACTGAGAACTCAGCCACTAAGTTACAATGGCCTAGGTAGCTCAAGAACACACCTCTAGCACCACAGCAATGATTGTAAGAGTTGTAATCAAATGAAAGCCCAAATGAAGTTTGCATAGGACATTCATCTACATGTATGCCTAAACCTTGTAAAAAAAGTTGCGTATATTAATGAATGGAGAAAGTTCTGTATCACTACCACTCCAGGCAGAAAACAAGAAAACCTGCCTCCCATTAAAAGGTAACTTGGACAAAGCCTTCGACAAAAAGGCTTAAAAAAAAAATCTAAGGCAGCAGCCTTAAATTAAAAAGATTTAGGGCAGCAGCAGACAAGCTCCAAAGTCTTTTTGGCTCCAGAAATGGTTGTGGCAGGCATTTGAAATAATAATTTTATGGGTTACAGCAATCAAAAGCCAAGACGTCAAGCCAAGTCACTGACATTTTAACTTCTAAAACAAGATTTGTTTAAAAAAAATCCACCCATGTCATAGCTAAGTACTGAACAGCTAGAAAAAAAAATAGTATCTGAAAGTTGAAATGGGCACCATTTCTCACAAAAAGTATTACAACTGCAACAAAAACCCTTACACTTTCCATACAGGACTAAGCAGGCTCATCAGCTACAAGGAAACAAACCCTTCTGCAATGAGGTAATTGTTGTCAGTAACCCAATAAAAGGAAAGAGGAAGTAAAAAAACCAAAAAAAATAATTAAAGAAAAAGACAGCTCAATTGTGAAAACAACCAGTTTTATAGTAAAATCTTGCCTGTTTTGATCCTGATTATACACAGACCCGGATCCTCCTTACCTGTCAATCAAGGAACCTCTCATGCTGGTAGCAATGGTACTTGGCTGAGCATCATTCAGCCTGAAGATACTCTCGATGACGGAGAGCTCAGTGCTGGTTGTATCCAGCCCACAGAAGGCACACCAGTCATTTACAACCATTCCTGCCGCAATGACCTCGCTGCCACGATTCACCGTTCCGGCCTGGCAAAAACAAAGCGGCAAGAGTTAACAGGGTATGCTGACAGCAACACATTTCGTTACACATCCTTATTACAAGTCTTTAGTGGAGGGCCTCAACTCACACTCCTGAAGAGATTAAAGCTCCTACCATCAACAAAGTTATAAAGATTTCAGATAAGAAGATTAATGGACAGCCTTTAATCTCTGGAGAGAAAATTGTGTGACATTCAGTGAAATAAAATCTAACAAGTAGGAAGCATAAAGGCATAGCAGTCATGAAATTCACAAATCCAATTGAGCAGGCACAGGATTTTATTACTTAATTTTTTTAAACACTGCCTTTGACCAAACCACAATCTCACATTCTGTATGAATCAATCAGCACAACTTGCGTAATCCCAGCAGAGCAATGTTTCAGAAGCAAATTAAAGGTGCTAAGCACCTTATTCAGACTCAGAAAAGCCAAGGAAAATGTCTCAGAAGACTTGCCCTGTTCAAGTCTTCTCCTCATCTCCCACTTGGGACAGCTCTGCAGAGAAACAGTATCTAGGAGCCCACTAGCTGTAGAAACACTAAAACTGAGAACTGGGTTGGAAGGGAGTGGCAAGAGAAAACACAAACCCACAAATGCCTTACCACGAGCGGGACCTGGAGCAACGAAGACAGTTCATCCTGATCATCAATTGACGTTTTGGGGTGCACAATTCCTCCTTGGTTACTAAAAACACAGTAACTTCCTACCAGCACCTGATCTGCTACCGTTTGTCTGAAAACCTCAACCTTCAGTACATCTGCCAAGATCTCTTCTGTCTCCTGCAAACAGAAAGAGAGAATAAAGTTCTCAGCAAAATGGTATCGTAGAATTTGAAGTCAAGCTATTCCTGCACACAACCATCAGCTGGGATCCTCCCCTTTGAAGGCCTGCCCACACTTTCACAATCCATTGCAATCCAAGCACTATAAAACGCTTACTCAACCCCTATACTCCAGATGCTTCCCGTTACCTGTGCATACTGAGCTGGGCCACTACAACTAACCACAACACCGTGCCTTTACTGAGAAATGCTCTTCTCCCCTCTTTCTGGAGGATGTTGGCGGTACATCAGTTGTGTCAATACCTGTTCTCCGGGCATTCCCTGTGAACCAGTCCTCTTTCGTCCCAGACCACTGGGACAAAATTGTCTTATCCTTCTGTATAACTCTAAGAACTTCTTTTCCCTCCAGGTTTTCACTGTGAATTATTTTGATTTCTCCCTCTCTGAACATCTTACCTTACTTTTTACACTTACTTAAAACATAATATGCTGCAAAGACCATTACCTTCCCCCCGCTCCCCCATTTTTTTTTTCTTTTGCACTCCTAACACCAAGTCCCATTTCTTCATCACCTTTAGCACAAACCGAAAGCAAACATTGTAAGGACCTTCATTACCTGTAGCCACGCAACACACCTCTCTCTAACGTTATTAAGATATCAGTTCTCAAACATAAAATAGCAGCAACTTTGTCTCCTCTGCCCTTATTTTAAACTTTCATACAAGAGCCTTCCATTTTTCTTTCACCCCTCTGTAAACATGCACACCACCACATCCATGGCCTCTTTCATCTATTACAAATTTCAGCCAGCTCAGCAGTAGCTTGTAACTACTGCTGTAGTCCTGACTAAACTCTTCTTTATGCTCTCTTTATTACACACATGCACACTCTCTTTTATTCATTCAATTTTACATACGCAAAGCAAATTGCACCCGACAATATACTTCCATATCCCACTCCTTCCCTTCTACGAAGAGCATTCACTACAGCACGCTGAACAAGAGGGCACATGCTATACCTGGGGCAAGGTCCACATCCACAAAGAGAGGTAAATACAGAAAAAGAGGCAGGTCAACTGAAACCAAGTCAGAAGTCCAAAATCCGGTTTTGAGACATCTCTCTTGAGAAGAAAGGAAACATGAGGCAGCACAGCCTCATACACGATAGCTCAGCTGTCAACATAGGTCTTCTGATCCTCATGCTACATACAGCAATCCTCAACAACTACAAACCCAAACTGCAGCTCGGTAATTATTCCACACGCATCCACTATGAATTTAAAAGCGCCATAGAGCCATATACCCTGTCAAGATCTGGATGAACAAGAGCTACATAGTCATTGCAGGTAGT